TAAAAATAACAACACTGTACAAAAATCATCTTCTTCCCTAACTATAACTGAGCAAAGGATGCTAGGTGTATTACCCTAGTGGAAAAAAAACACTCAGTGGAGAAAGTGCTCTTGCCTTTCATTAGTGGTATCCATGCATGCAGCACATTTCAGTTTGCCAATAGTGCACATCCTCTTTTTAAAAGTAAATAGTTTTCTTTAGGCTATCAAAAGGAGGAGACTTTCATGGACATAGGCTATAAACCTACATAAATCCAAAAAGGCTAGAAATAAGTCACTATTTCTTAGAAATCAAGGTAGATGGATAATGCAGAAAGCCTGGATTGCAGTCTTGTTCTGTCACTGATCTACTGAATAAATTAATTTACATTCAGCTTCCAAAATGCAGTTAAACCCAGTTGTGACGGGACTACGTCAAAGGAAACACATTTCTAACAATCATAAAGATACTCGCATAGATAAACCTGAGAATCTCTAAAAAAACCCAACCCCAACAGAATATAAACATTCTTTTAGCTTTTTTCCATAGATGACTCTTCTTATAACTAGATCTTTAATTGTCATACTCACATGCAGCCACAGACATCAAGAAGCCAGATCTTTTATACATTTCCATGTATAAACCCAGAAATTTAATGAGCAGTTCCACAACACTTGAAAGATAAGATCTGTTTTATAGCAAATAGACTAATGCAGAAAAGACCAAAATCTGTCCCTGCCTGTTTCAAACAATGAGATAATTTTAGTTCCAGACAAGCTATTTCCTAACATTATCTAAACTATAGCTCATAAAAGTTTATGGACTCAACCTCCAAACAGAGTAAGAATACAATAGATCTAAGTATCTTCACTAACGATAATCCCAGTTCAGTACCACAAGATTACGGACTATAGTGAAGGCACCTTATTTTACCCAAATCTACTAGTAATTTATTCTTTTTTTTAAATTTATATAAAATTACAGCAAGGAAGGAGAATCTGTCATGTACAGATTAAGTGCCTTGCCATACAGAATTTACAGATCGTGTCCCCAGCCAATATATGTGATGGTGCTCATATGGCAAGTCTTTTCAGTATAGCTACTCACCTCATTTTCTTTCACCGTTGTGAGAGAAAGCGTACGGGGTAACATATTCTACAGAAGAGGTTCATGAGAACAGGAGAATTGCAACCTAGTACAAGTAGATATAACAGTGACAAACAAAAGCAAAAGCAGATTGCTCTGGACCTGGATTCTGACACCAAAGCAGTAGTTTTCAAACTACCATAAAATTTTCAGTTTATTTCTGCATTTCTTTTTTAAAGAAGAAAACCCCTCCTGAGTAGATTACAGGCTTCTTTTCTAAACCAAGGGATTAAATTCGTAACAGTAAAGGCACAGCCAATTCCAACAATGAAAAATAAATAACCAATAACAAACAAATAAATAATGATTTACTGTGCAATAAAGAATTTAAATTTATAGAGGATGTAAACTAGCAAATCTTTCTTCTAATGCAAATTGCTTTGAAGTGTTAAAGAATGGTAGACATTTCAGTACCACTGAATTATGATCCCGCATCATGTAAGAACATGCTTGCTCTCCTCAAGTCATAAAATAACCAGTGGCTCCTTATTACATGCATTACCAGTTCAGATCTGTTCTCTGGCCTCAGGCTTACTCAAAACCATGCTATAAAACAAACCTTCTATTAAAACATAGTCAGGAGAATAAGATACAGGTCAGACTGGTCTAAATATTTAGTGTAGGAAAGACCCTCCTAACTATTTGGACTTTATAGCTCTAGTTATTTTAAACTGAAAACCATAAATGTTTATCCAGTCTTCCTATGATGTCCTTTGATGTCTTATATTTTTAAAAACACAGATAACATTCCTGTACCCATATTAGACAAATAAGTAGAGGAGACACGGAGACACCACGGTAGTTTGAACTTTTGTTTGTATTTTCTCTCGGTACTTATAAACACCAATGCCATCCTTCACTGGTTGCCAATGCAAAGGAATTCAAGCTTATATAAAATACCCATGCTAATCTGGTGTATTTAACATAAGTTGCATGTGTTTGGGGGTTTTTTGTTTTCTTTTTTTGTGTGTGTGTGTTGTTTTTAAAAAGCATTTACTGTTGTATGACCATCACCAAAGCCTCCAAAATTGAATGGAATTTTTGAAGTGGAAAAAATTGAAGGGAAATATGTCTA